GTTGGTTCAGCATAAATTCACTCTCCATTTCAGAGTATTACATTTTTTCTAATGTGTTTGCTTTGTGCCAGTCAGTCAGTACAACTTACAAATTAGGCATTGTCTGTTCATGTTATGTTTATTTGGGTAATGCTTGTTCTTCAGCTGGCATAACAGCATAGAACTAAATCTATGAATGCACCTAGCTGTGTAGGATTCACAGGAGATTCACAGCAACAGAGGGTCCTGAAGACATGACATCCACATATACATGTTTTAAGGATGTTACTTTGGACTAGTTTGGTTCTGCATATTGAATGCTTGGTAGCAGCTGGAGTGCTTTAGGGATACTCCTGGAGAGCATCTCCTAGTGTAGTTTCATACAAAAAAATCCAATTTGTGTCCTCAACGATCTCCCCACAATACAATCAAAATCACTTTAAAAGAGCACTTCTGATCTGAACAAAATGCTAATTTACATGCATCTTAAACTTAAATGATATGTATGCTCTGGTTACTTTAACACAAATATGATCTTGTTTCCACATATGATCTGAAATAAAAGGATACTGGTAGGGAATCTGGTAAGACACAGATCAACAACTGTGGAATCACAACCCCTTTGTGGCCCTGTGAAACAACAAGAACGATCCTGTGCTCTTTTTGGCATAGAATTGGCTAGAAGCAAGCTTGAAATTCTGGAAAAGAAACTGGCTCCTGTTTTTTCCTCATGTTTTCTGCAAGTAAAGAGAATCAAATTAAATCTATTGATACATACCTAACATCACTTTTTTCTAAAAATATAAATAACCTACAAAGGTCTGATGCTCTGTGACTATGTGGGCCAACAAGCAACAGCCCAAACATGTGAGTATTTTGAGGATCAGGAGACAGGTTTTTGAAAATTTGCAGGAACACTAATAATAGATAAAAATTAGCTTAAATATTATTTTCAAGCCTCACGTTCTTACAGTTTTCCCTGAAGAATAACTTGCTTCTAGCTAATAGCATTTTTTGTACTAGTATAAGCACAGTTTTATACTGATTTCTCAATTATTCACTCTGTAGCTTTTCCATCATATATATATATATATTACTATATGGTAAGCTCTTCCACAATGAGACAAAGAAAATTATTATCATTGGAGAGTTAATAGCTTCTTAAACATTTCTCAGCTCTTCCTGATCATCTTTATCAATGACCTGGAGGAGGCAGTGGAGTGCATTCTCATTAAGTTTGCAGACAACAGCACGCAGCGGGGACGAGTCCCTATGCTTGAGGGCAGGGCTGCCATCCACAGGGACCTGGACAGGCTGGTGAAACGGACCAGAAGAAACCTTATAGTGTTCAACAAGGGCAAACAATAAGTTTTGCCCCTGGGAGAGACTATCCCTCTTCAACAACACAGGCTGGGCCTTGATGGGCTGGGGAGCAGCTCGGTGGAAAAGGCTCTGGGGTCCTGGCAGATGGCAAGCTAAGCATGAGTAAGCATGTGCCCTGGCAGCAAAGAGGCCAACAGCTTCCTGGGCTGAATGAACAGGAGCAGAGCCAGTAGAAAGGCTGGGACACAGGGAAGTGATCATTTCTGTTCACTCAGCACTCGTTAGACTACAGCTGGATACTGCACCTAGTTTTGGGGCCTCCCATACAGGAAAACATTGACAAACTGGAATGAGTCGAGTGGAGGGCCACCAAGAGGCTTGGGGGCTGGAGTACTTGCCCTGTGAGGAAAGGCTGAGGAAGCTGGGCTTGTTCAGGCTGGAGAAGTGACATTTTCAGGGGACCTAACAGCAGGCCTCCAGTGATTACAGGGAGGTCATCAAGATGGAGTCAGGTGCTACACAATGGCACGTGCTGTGGGGATAACAAACAACGGACATACACACATTCAAATTTGGATGGATGTAAGGAAAAGTGTTTTTTTCCATGATGAAAATCAAGCACTGGAACAGGTTGCCCCAAATAATTTTATGCACTCTCCATCCTTGGAGGTTTCCAAAACAAGACTGTACAAAACCCTGTGTAACCTAGTCTGATCTCACAGCTGACCCTGCTTGAGCAGGAGGTTGGATTAGGAACCTCCTGAGGTCCCTTCCAACCCAAATTATACTTTGGTCCAAAGAAAGGGAATCAGTATGTGATTACCCTTGGTGCCTTCCAGCACAAAGAGAAGCAACCCAGCTGAGATAACCATTGAAGCAGTACTCCCACCACAGACATTACTACCAGCTAGACTGCAGTAAGGAGTAGTTTCCTCCTACCTGTAAGTCTTCAGACCAGTTCTATTCCTTTTACATATAACTAGCAAAAATGCTGAGTTCAGTCTTTGGCTTGACAACTCTTAAGCTTCCTCCAGTAATTTTCCTAGTGAGCATCTCAGAATTAGCCTACAAGTGAGCATTTTTCTGTGGAAGTGCTCAGGATAATAAGCCTGAAGTGAAGGCTCAGTGCCACAGAAACATAACTGCACAGGCATGTTCATGTATAGATTTCACAATAATCACAATGTTCAGTATTTACATAATACTTCCTCAGAATGCTTAATGCACTATTAGCAATCTACGTTTAATAACAATAAGGACATAAAATGTGAAATACTCAGATGGTACCTCATTGTTTTACATTTCAATATTAGTTTTGATGTTACATCTTAAATTTTAATACATTTGATTTGCATATTCTCTGGAAACTGGAAGCATTTCACACAAACTTATCAGAACACAGACACAAAGAAACAACATTCACTAATGAATTACAGAAAGATGACAAATTCTAGCAAATCTACAGAGAAATGATGGAAAAAGCAAAGCTCAAGAATGGATGCACTACTGAGAAGAAAAATAATAAGCAAGTGTTCAAATATATAATAAATAAGGAATCAGTGAAGCAGAATAGGACCATATAGATGACATGGGTAATATCGTGTTGATACAAGTGGTAACACTGCCAAAGGAAAATAATGAACTCTTTCACTCACTGTTCACAAAGGAATATGAAGTAAATGTCATGAACTGACTGACACTCCCCAAGGTAGAGGAAAAAAATATTGAAGGTGTTCAAGAAAACTCACAAGTTACACAGAAATCAAAATATCTTATGGGGGAGAACCAGATAAAAATATCTGTAATCTGCCCAGATTTTAGAAATAGGTTTGGATCCTGTGACCTAACCTCCAAAAATATCAAGGTTAAGGTATACAAATTGCAAGTTAACTAGGATTTTCTTAGGCAGCAATCAAAAGCTTGGTCTTAAAGTAGATGAGTAACGGAGAGCATTATTATGATAGATTTGTTGCTCATTTAAACAAATGAGGAAAACACAGCGACAAAAGGAGACAAGGGTAAGTAATAAGCAGGTCATAACTAAAGGGAAAGCAGTCTGAAGATGGGACATCAAACATATTGAGAATGCATTGGTCATTAAGAGGTCAGATTCAGGAGTATAAATCCATTAGAATGAAGAAACTTGCAAACATCTGTATTTGATAGCAGTGAGTCATAAGTGAAAGAGCGAGAACAGACCCCTTAAAACCCATATACTACAAAAATCTGAAGAGAAAGAATGTATTCATAGTGGTGGATAAAATCATTTTTTGTCAATTTAAATTCATAATGATTAGATTGGGTTCACTGGAGATGGGGAATGCAAGGTTTATTTATTTATTTCTGTCAGATATTATTTATTATCTTGAGTTGAGAGGAGTTAACTGTAAGTTAACAAAAATTTGCAAATGACACAACTGTGAAGAATTCTCACCACGGAAAAAACAACAGCAAAATGTAAGTAAATTGGAAACAAAGTGTAAAATAACAAAATAAGGTGTAACATGGGAAAATACATGTTTCGATACAGAAAAGGACAAAACAGCATTATACAAAAGTGACTTGAATTTTGCTGTGCTGAGAATACACAAAGAAAAAATGGCAAAGAAGATAACAGTTTTAGGTTTTGTTTTGTTTTGACTTTGATAACACCATTTACTGTTTAAGTTATTTTATCTATCCACTTAGGTGAATAACAACAAGAACAAGGAAAAGAGTCAACAACCCAGCAACCAAGTTCCTTTAATGTTCTCTTCAATATACTGTATGAAATGAACAGTCACATTCATATATGACTGGAACATAATGCTCCAAGCCGAATATTGAAAACTTCAATTAGACATAGTGTTGCAGGTAGCAAGACAGTTCATGGCAATTTGTAACTGCTCACATATAATGTCACGGAATACAGCTACTGCAGTATATTTTTTTCATAGCATTGATTCAGAAAGGTTTTCTCTACCTGCTGAAACCTATGCAAATACATTGACATGAATACAACTTAACTTAGATTAACTTCTGCTGATTCACCAGGGTCAGGCTTTCCCCCTTACAAAGAATTAAACAAACTTTGCAAGTGGTAAAGAATTATCTATGGGGAACAATGTACTAACACGGCAAATATCAGGAAGAATTTCCCAACATGAGATCCACTGGAGGAATAAAAACACTTTCTCAGGAAAAAGATGGAAAACATATATTTCGGAAAATCTATATGCAGACTACATCAAGCGTTCATACATATACTGGAATACAGACAATATCCCACTAACAGAGCCTACACATGAGAATCTAGCGGCACATTTTTACATCCTTTCATTTTCTTTAAATGATGAGTAGAATGAGCACTGCTGTAATGAGCAGTTTATCTTAAGCCTTCCTTTAAAGTTTTCTGCTGCATTTTGACTTGTCACTAATGTGCATAACACATTCATTCTCTTCTCAGTTAAAGGACTGTTAAAGTAATACAATTGTTTGCCTTGTCTTCATAAAATGTTGCTTTACCAGTGTAATGATTTTTAACTGCAGTCTCAAGAATATATATAAGCAATGGGAAAAAATGAAGATGATAGAAGTGTAGCTCATAATTATTATAGAATTTCTACTGGCCACCTCCAGGAAAAAGTATGATGAATAAAAGTCCCTCCATGAAAAAACTTTCAGCCATTTAGAACATGATATAAATTTGTCATACTTACCATAAGAAGTCTATCTCCAACCTGCAATCTCCCATCTTTTTGCGCGGCTCCTCCATCAATAATCTTGGTAACATAAATGCTGTTGTCCCCAGGAATGTGTTGGTTTCCCACACCTCCTGCAATACTGAAACCTAGACCTGGAGAAGATAGGGAAAATAAAATATTAGCAATAAAATAAATAAAATATGTAACAATAAAAAGGAGTGTGAGGTTAGTACATATTTTATTCTAATCTAAAATATAAGGATAGAATTTTTTAGAGAATTGCAAATATCAAAACAAATATTTGAGGGGTCAATACATTCACTTCTTCTGGAAGGTCAGGGACAGAAATAAATTAAGAATATTCTTTCCTATGTTCAATCACAGGAATTTCTAGCAACACACAGACAAAATGAATCAAATAATGATGACTACATCAATGTCTTGCCCTTGTCAAGAGCCACCACAACCTACATTAGGAAGTCACGACAGACATTTCCAGTGGTGGAAGTTTCACCATTACTATCCAAAGCTTGGAGTTTGTTTTGTTAAATATTGAAATAAAATATATCACAATGTATTAGAAAAAAATGTAGGATATTCCTATGATCCACAGAATTTGAAAAATACCAGGGGAGGTATTGTTAGTTGTTATAGTACCATAGTGAAAAGTCTGGAAGGATTGAACAGTGTAGATATTTGGATTTAATTCTGCTCTGCATATTTTTCTAGGACACAGATAACATAGGCTATGGATACATGAAATATGAAAACCATAGTCCTTTGTGCACATAACTTCTGCTCAGTGATCTGTGAAATTCCTAGATGAAGACTCGAAGTGCCAAACTTCAGAGCAATGTCAATAATACATGCTAATATGATTCAGGAAGGAAAGGAAAAATAAACAGATGTTAGAGTCTGTAAAAAAAAAATAAAATGGTTTTACTCTTTTCCTATCCTCTGAGACACTGCATAAGCACACAAATCATTGCTCTCATTTATAATAAGATTTTTATCTCTCAATCAGAGAAAAGATAGAAATACTTGTGCTTTATTTCCATAAAAAGCTACTTCATAGATTTGATTTTTCATAGATCATATATCTAATGGGAACTTCCAGTTGAACAAATAAGCTATTACTGACAATAATCTGCTTCGATTATTGCCTCAATCAGGCATACCTCTTTTAGTAGTACAGAAAAATATTAGTTATATCTATCTAAAGAATAATCACTAGTTTTATCTGTGAAGTATATTATGCGTCATCATTCTCAAGGAAAACATGTTAGTAATAGCTTCAGCCTGAGCTACGAATGCAACTGGGAAAAGTGAGTTGCCTGGAACATGGCATTTTATCACAAAATCAGCAGCCTTACTGCTTTGCAATAAAACTTAACTGAGGGTATAGTTATTACCCAAAGGCTTATTTAGCAGCTGTATGGGTAGAGAGATAAGATTTTTAGAGTGAATTAAATATTTTGATATAATTTTCAAAAAATTATGATTTTTTTCTTATAATATTTTTATTTTATAATTTTTTTAGCTTAAAAATGTGAGGTCACATTACATACTGGACTACTTAACGGATATGGACAAAACAGTAAATTACCAGAAGAAACCTCTGAAATTATATCTCAGATTGAAAGACTAATTAATTATGATTACTATTAACAACACATAGCTAATTAAGAAGTATGGGATAATTAAAATAAAAAAAATAAATAAAATCACTTAATTTCCAAGTGACGCTGATGACCACTGTTACTGTTTATGTGCTACTGCCAGGACAACTACAAAAACAAAAGGTTACACTTCTTGACCCTGGAAGAATTTGTTCACTACCCTGAGACTGTTATCAAAGAAGCAAAAACACATTCAAAGAAAATATCAAGAATGTAAATTTTCCTTAAATTTTCGTTGTGGACAAGGGAGAATGATTGAGTCACACAGAATCACAGAATCACACAGAATGGCCAAGATTGGAAGGGGTCTCTGGAGATCATCTAGTCCAACCTCCCTGCTCATGCAGGGTCATCTAGACCACATTGCACAGGATCGCAAAACCCCGTCCAGGTGGGTTTTGAATATCTCCAGCGAAGGAGACTCCACTACCTCTCTGGGAAACCTCTTCCAGCGCTCTGTCACCCTCACAGGAAAGAAGTTTTTCCTCAGGTTCAGACGAAACTGCCTGAGTTTCAGTTTCTGCCTGTTGCCTCTTGTCCTGTTGCTGGGCACCACGGAGAAGTGGCTGGGGACACCCTCTCGACACCCTCCCTTCAGATACTTGTATACATGGATGAGATCCCCTTCTCAGTCTTCTCTTCTCCAGGCTCAACAGGCCCAGCTCTCGCAGCCTTCCTTCAGAGGAGAGATGCTCCAGTCCCCTCATCATCTTGGTAGCCCTCCGCTGGACTCTCTCCAGCAGTGCCATGTCTCTCTTGTCCTGGGGAGCCCAGAATTGGACACAGGACTCCAGATGCTCTACTCCCCAGGGCTGAGGAGAGGGGCAGGATCACCTCCCTCCACCTGCTGGCAACACTCTGCCTAATGCACCCCAGGAGACCATAGGCCCTCCTGGCCACAAGGGCATGTTGCTGCCTCATGCTTAACTGGTTGCTCACCAGCACTCCCAGGCCCTTTTCCGCAGAGCTGCTTTCCAGCAGGTCAACCCCCCAGCCTCTGCTGGTGCAATGGGTTATTCCTCCCTAGGTGCAGGACCGTGCACTCACCTTTGTTGAACTTTGTTGAACTAGGTTTAGGAAATGAATAGAAACAGTTATGGAAGGGGGAAAAGAGATTTTGGATGTGAAAGATTGACAGTTTGCTGTAAGCACAGGAAACACACATTGATATGGTAAGAGGACGTTGCACTAATTCTGTGCTTTACTGAAACAGAGAATTACTAATCTATAAGCAAGGAGAAGAGGACAGGATTATAGATTAAAGAAGGAAGAAGGTGGTGACAATAAATCTTGCCTGTTTATGTTCTACTTCCAGTTAAAAAAAAAGAAAAAAAAAAGTAAAAAAAGCATCAGGCATGGTTTACTATAGTAGGGTATAAAATTTATTCACATGTAAATCCACTGTATCCACAGACCAATAACAACAGGCTCCTATAAACAGAATAGTGAATGGTCCCTGCCCCCAAAACCATACAGACTGAATAGAGAAGCTATAGGATAGATTAAACAAGTAACTAAGGCTTCAGATTTACAGTGTATACCAACAGAAAAGCCTACTTTTAACGGAGAATGTTGTATATGAAACATTTTGCTGTGATTTAAAGTGCTATCCTCCAACATTTACAGTTATTGCAAGGATTCCTTGTAAAGCTTATGCAAGATGGAAGAAGAAGAAGCTCCTCAACTAGGATGAATACAGCACAGCTGTAAATCACAGAATGCAATAACCATCTAGGGAATTCAGTAGCAGTAAATTATCAGAGACTCGGCTATGAAACAGGATAATAAGCTACTGCCATAGGATTTGGCAACTGGAAAGAAATCCAGGTATTATGAAGCACTGGAGGACTCTTTATACCAAGACGATGCCATCAACTCCAAGAGAGAGAATGACTGCTATTGCATAGTGCTGCTAAATGTAAGGATTTTATCTATATTTTGAATCCATGTATAATTCTCAGACTAAGTTTTAAGGTTAATTGAAAGAGGCAACGATGGGCAATTGTCAATTTTGACAGTTTGACACAAAGAGCAATGATATATCTTAACACTCAGAAGAGAGTTGCTGACATGGTATACTGTATTTTGACAGGTCTTCTATATATAATAAAACCCCTTTCTACAGTCTATGAATTTCTCTCTTTTTTTCTTTGTCATGAATAACATTAGCATACATATGCACTTTTAATAAACAAATTTATTTTAAATTACTAGGCAAGTAGCAAGAAGAATTAACTGAAATTAAACCTTGTTCATGTATTTCAAAACTGACTTAAATACTGAAAATTCATACTGGCAATGTAGCCACATTCTTTTCTTCCTGCACTGTGTACATTATATACTGTTGTGCTTCATTGTGACTCAGGATGTAAACTTTTTAAAAAAAAGAAAATCTCACATAACCTCCCACTATACTGCTTCTGTAAATGATAAAGTTCTTAGTCCAAAAAGACACAAAGGTAAAATATCACAGTACTGATCTGAACAATCTAAAAAGATGTTTGATCTTTTTAGGAGTGTTTATATCTAAACAATTTAGATATAAATTGACTTATTTTGATCTTTTTTCAAAAGTTTTTCCTGGAAATCTAGATGATCAAAATCATGGTAGGACTGTCATATTTCCATCACAACGTACTTGGATGATACAGTTGTGCAATCTGAGAATAAACAGCCATTTTAGAAACAGGAAATTTAGAATGATACATAATAGAATTTATATTTGCCCTGACAGGTCCTGCTTTTTACCTTTCTGATAATAACTTTACAGATAGTTAGTTTAATCTGCGTACAAGCTGTACAAATTTTAAAATAAGAATTACAGACTAAGCAATTCTAAAGTAAGAATCAATGTCTGAGCAGTTATGCATTATTTTTTTCTTTATACACTTAAACATTTTTAAGATCACGGTAAAGGTTTTGCAAAACGAAGTATTTTTCTGTTCTACTGTGTATAAGCTTAAACTCGAAGAATGTTGTGGAAAATTCAAGTAGACAGCGCTGGAACTTGGTAGAATTAGAAAGAAGGTAACATCGATGATATGAAGATACAAAGGAGAGCTTCAAAGAAAAGACTAATGGAAGAAAATTTGAGGAAAAAAAACCCTTCAGAGTAAACAGGGTTCAGCTATAAAAAGTATTCCAGTAACACATACTGAAATTGGTAATCAAACGCCTCACAAATATTTAGAAAATTAGAGAGTCCTCCTCTCTAAATACAAGAGTTCTAGAAAGGAAACTTGCTACTGATTAATTTTGTGCTGGACTGCAGTTCTCGGTGAACAAAGACACAAAGATAGATTTAATTTACAAACAAACAAAAACAAACAAACAAAAAAGTTGACTCATTCGTTAAGGTAAAGATTCAGTGGTGCCATCAGGTCTCTTTTAAATGTGAGCTCTGTGAGAGTAAGACAAAATCACCTTCCTCCATCCCTGTCGGTATCACTTTCGAATTACAACCAAAAAAATGC